AACATATGTTGTCTGTGAATTTTTAATATAATTTTTCGTTTAAAGAATACTACAATTTAGCGGGTAGAATTTTCATACGGTTAGACTTTGTGTGAGAGCACTTTGTGGACTACAACTCTTTGCTGCTTTCGACGCGTTTGATACACGTCACCACCACTAGCACACGGATCCCGCTAAACAAACCATTGTTTGAATGGTGACAATTGGGTACAAAATAGAGCCCGACCGATAAAGGATTTCGAAGGCCGATACCGATACAAATATTTTGGGGTTTTAAAATCCGATATTCCGATATATCGGCCGATATTTTTATTATTATTAAATATTGTTGGTTTTCACACACGTGTAAAAGAAAAGCTAACTTTTCTGCACAAGATACGTTTGAAACTTTTTTCTCTATGTCTAAATGTTCACTCCTCGCAAGTATAACTTACATTTTACAATGCAGGGACTGTAACTAGAGATATGCGAGTTATAAATACAGTAATCATTATTTTATTTAGGCAGAAAAAGTTCATTGTGGTTTCCAAGCTCATTAATGTTAACGTTAGCGGTCTTCCACTGATGATAGTGGCGTTAGCTAGCTTTGTGGTTAGCTAGTCTATGATGAGCCATAATTTAGCAATAGATGACATCATACTGCAAATTGTAAAACATACATTTTCAATACAACAGGCCAAGGAGAGATGATTAAAGCGTGTTTCGTCCGTTTTTATTTTATTTTTTAAATATTCATTTATCGGCCATTATAACTGCCGATACCGATATTTTGGAAAATGCCTAATATCGGCCGGCCGATATATCGTTCTGGCTCTAGTACAAAACACACAGGCATCTCCATCTAATTCCTTAGATTATCCACAAGTGCTAGCCAAAGAATCATACAAGTACAATATACTGTCAAACTCGTTACATGAGAAATGATATAATAAAAATTCACAGACAACGTACTGTATGTTCACATTCATGGCACAATTCAAACGGGATCAGAAAATAATTATTTTCTCTCATTCACAATTGACGCTTTTTCAACCTAGAGGTCCACTTGGAGTTTTACGTATGGGCGGGACTTACCACCTCTATACACGAGCACACAGGAGAAACAGCCTACAAACAAGGATCTCTCAACGGATGACACTAGGTACACTTAACTTTATGGGCAACACATACAGAATGAGGGAAAGTAGCAACAATGATTACCTTCTGTGAAGTCTCAACCGGCAAACAAAGCCCATAGCCCATGCAAACAACTGATCTTCTTCTTCTTTTGTTGTTTAAATGGCGGTTGGCAAACCAACTTTAAGGTGCATTGTCCGCCACCTAGGGCTGTGCCATATCATACCGTCCACGATAATACCGGTAAAAAATTTTACATGATAAAAAAGTGTCATATCGCGATATTGATGATATAGTGGCATGGTGAAGTATGGCGTATTTACGTTACGTAGCGCACGCACAGCCGCATGTCAGCCTCTGGATCAGATCAAGATTTTAGTTCCTAAAAAGAGAGCTACTTCAATAGTATGGAAGTGGTTTGAGTATAAGAGGTCAGATCTCCAACAAAACACAATTTTTGTCAAATACGCGTGAAAACTGTAGATAAAGGTCACATAAAACAACTTTATGCTGCTGGACTTTATTGCTTTAACCATCTACCGGCCGGGTGTCTGTCACTTGAGTCAGAGCATCACGTGCACAGTAACTGAAATGTAAAACTGTTAAAAGAAAAGACTCAATAAACGATTGCATAGCTAGATACTGTATATTATAAACTACGCTACGCATCAATGTCTTTACTTTGTGCTTGAACTGCTCAGTGCGGATTCGACGCGCTGCGCGCTGTGACTCCGTGTTGCTTCAAGCGCATCATTCAGCGCTCGGGATGTGCATAAAGGCGGGCATACACTGTGCGATTTTCGACCGATTTTGAGCCGAATTCTGACTCGTGTGACTCTTTTCGTGTCGGACCGATTTTCCGCTTTGTCGTGCGTCGTTTGTCGTGCAGTGTACAGGGAGAAACGAGAGGCGATTAACCTCTCACGATCAACAATCGGATGGTCGGATGAATTTCTGGCATGTCAGAAATTTTGGTCGCTCCTCGTGACTATATCGCACAGTTGAAGCAAAGCTACGAACCGATTGCCCTAAACTCAGTGTTTTTTCCCTCACTGCACCTGCGCGAAAACAGAAGTTTAACCATTTCATCTGCAGCAAAAATAAAATTAAAATAGATCTTAAAGTTCTGTAGTTCAAACTAATTTAGCCACAAATTACTGTTGCTTACCTCCAGTTCGTGTTGCAAAATGGATAATATTACCCACCGTCTTCAAGCCACCTGATATGTAACACCTCTTTTATTATTTTGTCAAACAATGTTTTTGAAATAAACCTATTTTTAATTTTCATTGATGATTAATAATGGCAATATTCTGACATATTATAGACTGTTAATAGTTATTTTATATGCATATAATTCATTGTAATCGACCTAAATGTTTTAGACAATTTTTAATGAGGAGTAAGATTATGTAATATTTTATTATCCTCACAGCATGTTGGTTATGTGCTGTGAAAATATTGCGTGTCAAATTAATTATAATAGCGGATCAATTTAATAGTAAAATTAGCCTATAGGCCTCCCCTAATAATGATAATATAATACTAATAATAATTAAATGCATAAATTGAAAATACTAAATCATCTTGATACTGATAGCAGATGCTTGTTTTGACAATATCCCTGGATACATACACGTAAATAGGCTCAATCCAGGGGGTTATCGCAGATATTACACGTATAGTGTGAGCAGTGAAGTCGCAGCTCGACGATCGGACCGTACAGTGTGAGCACATAAATCCTGAACTTTGGCTTTGCATCGCATGCGATTTACTCGTTCAGTGTGAGTAGGTACCTTGCTGAAATCGCACAGACATCGCACAGTGTATGCCCGCCTTAAGCGCTGTGCGATGTATTGGAGCCTTTCATATCATAATACTTTTGCGCAATGATAGATTAATAGCCTTTGTTCTGTCCTATCGATCATATGTTGCTGCCTCATTAAACAGCTGTGCTATACATTTTAAACATGTCTCAATTTTATAGTAGACTAGGCTATATAAGAATTAATCCTTTTGATTTTTGTTACCTTTTTTTCATGAATGCACAACACAAAGAGCAATGTGTAAAGTTTGACCAGATTTAGTGTTACAATTGTCTCTTATTTATTCCCAGTGTTGGGGAGTAGTTAACTACAAGTAGCGAAGCTACTAACTTAACTACATTTTTCAGTAGCTTGGCTGTAGCTCAGTTGCTTTTTAAACAGTGTAGCTTTTCCAGTAGCTAACTACTTTTTGCAGCAAGTAGCGGTGTAGCTCGAGCAAAAGCTACATTGTGTTTGTCGAGCCTGCGCGAATTAGCGCGATGCTATATTCTTCTTCTTGTTAGATTACAAACTCATTTTTTTTTTTTTTTGCCATTACCGCCACCTGTTGTTTTATCACGCATCTTGCGGCTAACGGTTAACTGACGTACAGAAGTGTGTTGACACACACACATGATGATGGAGCAAGACTTGACGGCAGATTTGGAGGATGGAGAAACAACTAAAGTTAATTACCCATGGCATTATTTGTCCAAGTTTTTTGAAAAAATTTTCTACATGCAATTTACGTTGGATGTATATTTTGTTCTTGCAATGTTGTAGACTGTTTTTTTGCAATTTTGCACTTTTGACAAACATTCTGAGATATTTGGTTGTTGTGTGTAATAAAACAATACTTTTTGAGATCATAATTTTATTGCATTGTTTTAAACACTAAATGTTTTAGATGTTTTAAGTAAAACATTTAGTGTTTGAAACAATGCAATAAAATTATGATTTCAAAAAGTATTGTTGTCCCCTTCTGTCTTTAGACACTTATTCAGTTATTAATAATATACGTTGTTCAAAAAAGCAAAAGTAGTTTCAATGTAGCTAGCTACTTTTTGATAGTAACTTGTAGTGTAGCTAACTACTTTTCCAAAAGAGTAGCTTGACTGTAGTTTAACTACTTTAACTTACGAGTAGCTTGTAGCTTGTCAAACTACAGTTTCAGAGTAGCTTCCCCAACACTGTTTATTCCCCACTAAATGTTTTTTCCCTAAATGTTCAGATTTTATACAATTATTGTATAAATTAGGTATTTTATACCTCATTTGATGCTAATCCAAAAATGATGCCAGGCAACTTTTAAGTTTTGATCATTTTTAAGCAGTAAGTATTTTACATTTTGAAGGTTTGTTTGGATTGCCGCTGTTTGTTTAAATTTTTTGTACTTAAAAGTTTAGGTAAATTTTATGAGGTGACAACATTGCGCAGGCTTCTGAAGTTATTGTTAATATTGTTAAGTTATTACTGTTAAACTAAAATGTTAAGGAGTTATGTTTTTGCACTAATGCTGCTGCCAGCCAGCTGCAATCACCAATAAAACGTTGTTTCACTTCCGACGCAGTTCAACAATGGCCAAAACGAAGGCTAGATGTCACTCCTCTGTTCCACTTTGTAAATCTAACGAACAACGCCAACCCTACTTAAGTTTTCATGGATTTCCGACTGACTTGAGTATAAGGAAGAAGTGGATTAAAGCGGTTCGCCGGAATAATTGTTCAGTTTGTTCGTCCATGCCAATTTCACGACGGTGATCAGACTTTCCTTTTTCCAGCTGTTCTCTTTTTCTGCTGATTGTGTAAAGTTGTGTGGTGAGATAGAGAAAGTAATTTTAGTTTATTTAATAAAATCTGTGTGTTGTTTAAAGTTCATAGTATTTGATCTGACTTCATGAAGCCTTATGATGTGCCTGAAACGTCAAACTGACTAGAACAAACTCTTTGAGATGTATATGATACTGGATATCAAGGGTGAAACTGTTAATAACGTAGACAGACAGCAATCTCATTCAGTGTCAGTCATGTGTGGATGTGGGTGAAATCTAATTTAATTTTAAATTAAAACATGGAAAGTGGAAAAATGAGTAAATGGTTTAATCAAGCATTACTTTACGTAAATACAAACATTAAGTAAAAGTAAAAGAGACCGAAGCCATACAGCCAAAGCATCTTAAAAGAAGAAAAGTGTCCAGGTTCAAAGATCCATGAAAGTATATCTTGCATTTACATGGAAGAGTAGAAGTGGAAGAGAAACTAGATTTTATCATGAAAATAGAGTTAAAAGTGTATATCAGATTCATGTCTCTCTTGTTATGGCCTTATCACAGTTCACAGTTAAATGATCTTTCTTGAGAATGAGAAGATGTGATTTCAGAGCGAAAGCCTGAGCCGCTTCTTCCCAGACTTGATTTACATTGGTTTTCCCGTCACTCTTCTGGAGACAGATTTATATGCTTCTGTTTTTCCTTTCTTGTTCATTTCCATCAGGTCTAAAAAAAACATTAAATCAAGTGAGATTTCAAATGAGAGACAAATGTAAAATGAAAAGTGAATCCAAAAGTCAAGATCACTGATGAGTTCACTAGTCATTTTAATCCCATCAAATCTGGTGCACAACTGCGGTTCACGACTATAATCTATTTTAATGATGATTTGTGTTATAAGTCACTAGTTTGGTCATGAAACAATGTAAATCTGGTGAGCAGAAGCATGTTCTTCAGCAATATGAATGAATGAATGAATGAAGAATAAACACCAACCTCTTGGTTCTTCAGTATCTTCAGTGTGTTTCATTCGGCAGGTTCTGGATCACTGTCGTTCTCTCTGTCCTCTCCTTCCGGATGCTTTCTGGTAGTTCTGCCAAAAATGATAATATGCATGATAAATATTTCAAGAACTCCTGTGCAGAACAAATGAATGACGATGACAACAGATGAGTGGCGGGAAAACTAAGACAAACTGAGAAAACAAACTAAAAGTGCCTGAAAATGTAACTAACAGCAACAAAGCCACAGTCGAAGCCACAGCAACAAACAATTTCTCCTCAATTGTTTAATAATCAAAACCAACTTAAAAGAACTAGAGCTGCAACAACTAATTATGTCAGGAATAGAAAGTTGATTTACATTCATCTGTTTTACTCATGATGTCGGTGGGACAAAGTAAGGCAACAGTTAAATAATATAAATAGGAAAGTCACAATAATGAGAAATGTCATAATTATGACTTACTATCTTATACTAATTAGAAACTTTCTAGTAATAATTTAGCATTGCATTATTGGGAATGATTTGGGAATTATTATTTGATTATATCAGGAAGGATTTATCATCACTGATAAATGTGGAACAGTTAGTTAATGTGTTCATGATATCAAGGCTAGATTATTGTAATGCTCTACTGGGGGGTTGCCCTGCACGCTTAATAAACAAACTCCAGCTAGTTCAAAACACAGCCGCTCGAGTTCTTACCAGAATGACCATATTAGCCCAGTTCTGTCAACCCTGCATTGGCTCCTGTATACATTTTTAAACATCGCTGATTACATACGAAGATCAGCGTTCTCACGAATTGACGTCTTTTAAAGTTTGCGTAGAGAGAACGTAAGAGTTTTCCGTTAAAAAAGTGTCGTGTTAGCGGCCACTAAGCTAATAACTAATGATCTTTGCGACGGAAGAGAATTAGCTGGATCTTTAGCGGGAAAATAACTTTATTCTAGAGCGCCCATTAAGCCAAAACAATCTGTTACTTTAATTTAGTTTGATCTATAGCCTATTGTTAAAAGCACTATATAAATAACAAGATGCTTTCTCATAATAACGACTTAACATCTCATAATGAGAAATGATCTCATTATAACGAGATATTACAACTCAATATCTCATAATAATGTGAAAAATTTAAACAGATAGAAAGCAACCACCAAGATGACCTGTTGCTCACCATGGCTGTTAGGAAACTAAGGGTGTATTCACACCTGCCTTGTTTGGTTCGATTGAATCGAACTCTAGTTCGTTTGCCCCCTTGGTGCGGACCTTTTGGGCAGGTGTGAATACAGCAATCGAACTCGGGTGCGGACCAAACAACCGAACCGAGACCCAGCTGAAGAGGTGGTCTCGGTACGGTTCCAAACGAACTCTGGTACGGTTCGTTTACGGTGTGAACATGAACCGACCCAATTGCAAGAAAGCACTGCGTCGAAAGAGAATATTCCGGTACGCTGTCTGGCCACACGATACTGCTACGCGTCTTTCTGCGCATCATTGGAATGAATGAATGAATGAATGAGTGCGTGCATCAGGACATTCACATACAGAGCGTTCTCTTTAGTCTAATCGCGCATAGATGCAACAAAAAAAAAAAAATCATTTGCAGTTCATTAAGCATTTGCAGTTCACCACCTTTTGGTGGTGCTTGACGAGATTCCCCCTTAAAGCGAGTGCCGAGAAAAGTTCTATATAAATGTAATGAATTATTAATATTAATGTAAGGATAGTTACAATACAAGGATGATGATGCGTTAATTTACGTTAAACTGGACAAACTTAATCGCACGCGTTAACATTGACAGCACTTGTTAGCAGTACACAATAAGAATCTCATTATTCGAATATGTGAACATAGCCCTCTCTATGAATGAAAACTTTATACCTTATCCGTCTTCTGTGCAGTGCCACTTGTAACGCAAAGTTGAGATGTTGCCCGGAGATTAAAAAAAAAAAAACAGTAGATGGTCGAATGAAAAGATGCACGAGAGACAAGAGTTGTCGTATTTCCCCGCGTTTAATAGAACCACTCAAACGTTACACTCGTCGCCTTCTCAAAATCCGAATTACAACATCGTATAGATGACATACTCATTAGTTTCTTCATATTGCGTTCGTACAGCAGACTGATCTCATGAAGTAGCGTGTGTATGCCACGCCAATTCGTATTTCCATTTTTGGCGTGCTATCAAGACGCATAATCGCCTTTCAGCGTGTTTATGAACGCCGTTGACTTAACGCTATATAAATATCAGTGGTGGAATGTAACGAAGTACAAATACTTCGTTACTTTACTTAAGTACATTTTTCACTTTCTACTCCACTACATTTCTACAACTTCTGTTACATTTTCGTTACATTTTCTGATCAGTTTTTCCCCTGCTAAAACATAATCTGGCCGTCCGTTCGTTGCACGTTTGTCTCGTCAGTGACGTTTGGTTGCCATAGATACAGTATATCAACCCGTTACACTAAATGCGTCTCGCACGCAGTGTGTTTATCGTGCAACTAATACGCAAAAATTTGTTTTTACGTGCATAGGAAACGCACCGTGTGTAATATACGTTTGGTTAGGATTATGGCAAGCCAAGAGGTTCAGAATTACACCATAAATTAATCGAGTTTACTGCCAAACAGAGTTATTAAATGTGCATTGCGCAACTTTTCATGTTAAAAATAGCCGTTTTCTAACCCATACATGCTTAAACAATCGCCTGATGGGCTGAATGAGCCCTTCTTTGATCACTGCGATCGCCTCTATAACCCTGTACAGTGAAATATATAAGAGGGATTCGGGCTCGAATCTGAGACTGGGCGTGACGTCATGCGCGTTCACGCTCGCCTGGCTATGTCTGGCAGGTTCGTGTAGCTATTCGCCGCCGTTCTCCGTATCAGAGAAGACAACTCGAGCGACACAACTCTAGTCAGCTTTCCACAAAAGTAGACGATGGATTCAAAGGGGCTGTTTACACCTGGTCACTTCATGTGTCTTCTGTGATCGGATAGCTATTCGATCGTGAAAAGACCAGGGTGTAAATGCCCTCCGAAACGCATTCGAGACGGATTTGAATTCGATCGCTCAAACCACTTGAGGACGTGATCTGTGCCGTATTCCAGACGAAACTGGACAAGTGTAAATGCATCTGGTTGTTGAAACCAAGCTATATGTCATGATATTTTAGTCATATATGACGACGCGCATCACCTGAGCAGCTGAGCTGAGCCCCTTCATCAAGCGCCGCAATCTATCGCAAATCAAAGTGAATTAGTGAAAGTAAGTCGCAGACGCTTAACACTACCATCTTCATTAAAAGTAAAGAAATGAAATGATCTTACCAGTTCTGTTGCCGATCTCTCTTATTGCTGTCTTTGCTGATTTTGAAATTAGCCGATGATTAATAAAATCCAGCTCTTATCTGTTGCTTTCGGTGACGTGCACTTCATTAAATCTGTATATGGCGCGGAAAGAGACCGGCTTGTAGCTCATTACAAACCCCAACGCAAACTCCACGTGAGACAGAAAATAAAACTTCTGTCTGTCCAGTGCCATGCGTCGGAATAAGACGAGAGTCAACATCGGGAAGCTTTCAACAAACGGAGAGATCTCCGGTCGTCTCTAGGGCTCAAACGGGTCATAGCCTATACAAAGTGATAACTGAAACGTGTTTCCATAATAATTCAATCAT